AGCCTTGAGGCTTTATGTGGGATGAACTCCCCGCCTCAGTCGGCACAAAGCATGAATGCCAGCCAGCCCCATTGCCGTGCGGGCGTTGCGCAACGCGCCGGTGGTCCTGGCTTCTGCAAATCACGCCGTTTTGGGCCGGTCTGCCCGCGGACCGGCCCGACCAGCCTCCACAGGCCAGCCGACCGGCTGCGGCCGGGCCAACGGCTCCCAGCACGCCGCAGAGAGGCAGTTTACTATAGGACATGTTCACATTTGAGGAGGAATTCTCCAGACGCTGGTCATCAAAACTCAGTATGAACTCATCGAACCAAACAAAATGTCTCAATTATCCACCACATACCGATTTTCACCATGAAAAGGGGCGAAAAATCTAGTGAAGTACCCTTGATCAACAAAATGACATCATCAGAAGTGCCACGTGAGGAAGTCAGCGTACTCAGCGAGCTTCCCTTCGATTGCATCGGTCAACGGCTGACCTGTCGCGCTCCATGGCTGATCACTGATCGGAGTCAGACGGCTGTCGTCCGCGCCGCTGCGTGGCACCGTGGGACTACGGGCCGGTACACTCCCAGCAGCGTCACCGCGACCGGCACGATACGACTGGAGCATTGAGAGGGGAGGGAACAACACGGCAAGGAGCCGAGCACTAAGGAACAGGGTTGGGCTGTGATTGAGGAGCACGACACGACAGGATGAGGGCTGAGCGGCGAGGAGACACGGCTGAAGGAGGATTGAGGACTGGGGATCGGGAGCCCACGAAGCGACATGGGAGGACAGAGAAATGAGGACTGGCTTCGACGACATGTGTAGAGGGACGAATGAGGAGGGGGCATGGCTGGTTGAAGTTGTGAGGAGCACGACCCACATGGTAAGAGGGCTGGTGAGTCAGTAACGAGCTGTGATTTTGCGGGTCACGACAAGGACAGAGGAACGACAGAGAAGGGGACGCTGACCGCTAAACTGCGATGTGCTCGTGTCCCGACGACGTTCAATGGCCGGCTAGAGCGAGATAAGTTAGCGAGTTCTTCAATAACGAAACAACGACAGACAAACGAACTGCAGAACAAAGTCCTGATCAACACATTCATTGGAATTGAGAAGACAAAAGGCAGCATCAGGAATACTATATTAATGATGGTAATGATTGATGATGATAATAATGAGCGATCAATCGCAGAGGTGTGTGTTCACGACATCGTGCAATACCTCTGAAGCTGACTTTGTATGCACCTCGCACGGCTCAGTCGATTGTCTCCCTATGACGCCATCATCACGTGGAGCGTCAAATGAAGATCCGCGCCGTCAGACCGCTGACGATTATGCGATGCTTATCGGCGGCGTTTCGCCACGGCCGATGCTCGATCTAATGACGTAACGCGGCGGAGACGGAAACGGCCGACAACAGCCCGCCAGTCGCCGGCCGCATGGGAACCCAATCCGCTGCCAGGCGACCGATCCATTTCTCACCCCGTGACAAATGGGACGCAAATATGCGTGGAAAATCGAACACGGATGGATGGACACTATATGTTGGCGAAATGTGGCCCAAACATACACACCAGATGGCGGATGCTGGATGTCCAGGAAACTCATGTTCACTATCACTGGCAATGGTGTGTGTCTGACTAGCCCTCTCACACAGACTACCCTCAAGGGAAGTAGCATGGCCTCTATTATACCCAAGGCCCTAAAAGCATATCCATAGATGACCCACAGATAACTGAACACTGAGTTGAACATAGCAATACAGCAAAGATGTTCTACAACATCTGGCTATTTCACTCTACTTTCCAGGTTCATGGTTTGGCTGGGTCTCCATTACAGCAGAAGCACAATGCTGCCTTTAGGAACAAAAGCTACAGGGATTGGTCTTGCACCTAACTAAACCATACTGTCCCACACTTGTAAATGCATAAAAGCATGATAACCTCACAATACACACATCATATAGGTAGGTTTTGAAGTCACATCACACATGCCAAATCAGATATCATGATATGACTCATTCTAAAGGAATGTTTCATTCCTTTGAACAAAAATAAACTTTATCATGCCATCATATTGCTGGCACCTGACACCATAGCCAGTGAAATGAAGAATGAACAGATCATCTCAACTATATATTCTGCTCAATGACTGCTTAAGAAATTACCTATACCAAAATGCACTTTTGAGTCAGTGCATACTGGGTAGTGGGTGACCCATGCATAAATTGGGTGGCCTGGTAAAGTCCTGCTAGCTGTGTAGTGTAGGTAGGTGTATATTATATAGGTTTTCTGCAATATGCATGCCATTTTGAAATAAGAATTGTAAATCCTGGACCAAAATGACAAAAGATGACTGGTTATCTATGGCTGGGTACTCAACTGAAAAAGCGCCTACCTATACCCAGGAATATTATACACTGACATGCATTCTTTATTGATAATTGATGCTTCAGAACTGTGAAGTACCTTATTTTATTGAATCAGACACTGACCTGTACATGGTTGTGGTCTGTGTACTGGAGGCCAAAGTAGTCCTTCTCTATGAGGTCCAGAGAGTAGAACACTTGGTCACAGAGGGCCTGGCCCAGCTCCTTTTTCTGAAATAAAAGTATATGAATGTTAACATAGCATTATCAAAATAGCTGGCATTGCATAGTCACAACTTAGGTGTTAACCCGCGCCGGGCCGGTGCTCTGAGATTCCGCGCCGGGCCGGGGGGGGGGGGGGGTGTCTGAACACCCCCCCTTCTAACTCGGCTCCTGGGCCACGTAACGACACGCGGTAAGCGGCAATCGAAAGAACGTCCAAAATAAGGACGAAAACACTTCGGTCATTTTTTGGGTCAGGTCAAAGGTCAGGTCACCAGAGGTCACCAAAGGTAAAATGCTGACTATTTCAACATTTTGGAAACTGCCAACGGCTATCTCGGGAACCGATAGAGCTACAGCGCCGCGGAAAAGCGCATTCGATAGCCCTTTTACAGGCCTTTCTGAGTAATGTTCTCAGATTTGACCTCAGGTCAACGGTTTAGCCTCCAGAGGACAAAAACTCCAAAAATAGCCGTTTTTACGAAAATCGGTTTTTCGGCGATAACTTTTGACTCAAAAGAGCCATGACATTACTTTTGCCAGCATCGTGTTCCTCTCGTCGCGACGCGTCGAATGAACTATAAGTTGACCTTGAAAGGTCAACTTGAAAATTTGACCTCAGGTCAAGGTCATGACCTGACCGGAAAAAGTCATGTTGCATATCAGTCGATCCGCAACGTCGAGCCGAACACATCTAAGGCGTTTTCAGCGCTCTAGGACGCCTCTATCAGAAGTTATTAGCGAAAAACTGTTAGATTCTGTTCGTGACCTGAGATGACCTCGGGGACATAACGAGGGGTCACAGTTGCCATTTTCTGGTTCAGTGTGTCAATTTTACCTACATCTCGATGTTCGAGAGTGTCTAGAATGGCGTTCGTGCAAAACAGACGCTTTTCAGTTTTCTCCCATTGACTTATAATGGAGAGGCCGCAAAATTGACCTGACCTTAGGTCACCGATATCGAAATTCCGAGATATAAATTTTATAGACACTGTTTCTCTAATCAATCGCTGAAAGTTTCAAGGCAATCGATCAATCGGTGTAGCAATGACGAGCATTCTTATTTTTTCTGAGGTGAGGTCACTTGGCGTGACCTGGTGACCTGACCTAAGGCGACCTGGGTCTGAAATTTTCACAACATGTGCGGAAAAGATGTACAAACAGGTGTGCCAAAAACGGCGGCGCTCCGCGCCGCCGTTTTTGAGATTTCTGCGAAAAACCGCAGGGGGGGGTGTTCAAACACCCCCCCGGCCCGGCGCGGGTTAACATTCTACTGATTACAACCAAACTGGTACCTACACATAAACAAGATTGAGGCAGCAGCATTTCTCCTCATATACAATGTCAGCATTTCATGCATCAGTATGTTGTTGCAATAAAGTATCGCTAAGCCTTCCGGTATGGCTTTGGGAAATAATACCCACTTCAAAAATTAAGCAAGTAAAAACCAAAAGCTATAGCAAAACTGAAATAGGTACTTACTGGAAGTTCTACAGATATATCTGTGCCATCTAAAAGCTGAACCTTGCATTGCAGGATATGCTTGTTGTGTTTCACTCCATGCTGATCGTTCACTCCGTTACCATCAATACGCTGCCCAGCGCGCCCTTTATGACGCTTACTGAAGAACTTCAGCATGTTGGTTTTAAATAACTAACAAATATTAAATATCACATAACGGTAATCATCGCTGACCCGCCATTCACCGAGTCGCCCCGGCAACGCAACTTTTTCCGGCACCCAAACCACCGTTTTATGGATTCCTTCCCGACGAATTAGCACAGTGCCACATAAAGCTTGTTGTTCACTCCCAAAACGTAAAGATAATGCAATTTATGCAAAAGAATTGTCCACTAACATCCTCGCACACGCCCCACGAAACACACAACGACGCGGCGCCACGACACTCAACGAATTCCTCCAGTCAACTGCTGCTTGTTGTGTTGCTGGTGTTGCTGATGGCGTCAGAGGGATGGGACCTCGAAATGAGAAGCTAATGATGGTACCAACCACTAAATTCTTGTATCGCTGCCCCATACTACACACGACTAAGAAACTGTCTTCTCTTTTTCTTATTTTACCCTCTTTACAGCTGTAATGCTATAATATGTAATAACTCTGAAATTCGATGTATTTTTATTAGAAAGACAGCTTTCCATCGGAAATTATTGAAATTGTTTGCACTAAATTCAACTGATGCATTTGAATGATCTGAAGCCTTAAATTTACTAATTATTTTTGAATTGACTTTTTGAATGAAATTAAAAATTTAACTTCACATTTCCAATTTTGGTGGAGGGTTTGTATTCCTCCAAGATCCTTGTTATGCTTGTTTTCTATTACATTAGCTGAAAATAAAGATGAACCGTACTCATTTGCAACTGAGCTGGTGAACCATCAAGAGCATTTTGAACACGTTGTTTTCATTCACACCATTATTGTAGCATGAGCGTCATATATGCCGACGGGACCCGTAAATATAGGGGTTGAAGTGTAAAATATTGAGGTGTTTGGGAAACATGATATTTTTCAAATGCCTGGATAAGAAGATTTAAAGAAGAAGTTTGTGGAAAAATAAAAGTAGTAACCCATATTTACGGTTTGCAGCGATTGTAATTTTGCTTTGTTGGATTTGATGTCAAGGTATGACAATTTTATATCGCTTTTCTAGTTAGGTACCTAAGTGTTACAAAACTACGTTTTCAGGCCAAGCATTTATAACCACAGCTTGAAAGAATTTTAATCACGAATCAAGAATCAAGGTTGTTTGGGCTCTGGAAGAAGACGTCGAGGTCTATGTTGTATAAGCCCATTTCTTTTTTGAATTACACGTTCTTCTACACCAGATAGGTAGGTACTGGATATTATTTCACCCTTTCTCCCTACTGTAGCAACCATGAGCCTGATAAGCTCAGTTGATAAAGCATCTGCAGTTGGTGTCCATTTAGTGAGAGCCTTGGTTCTACCTATGTTTTAGGGCCTTTATTCTAGCTGCTCTGATGCTTGATATAAGAAACTCCCAATGGGGATGGTGTGGTTAGTGGAAGCAGCTGCAGTCAGTTGAAGTCAGTTGAATGTGACATACCATGTCTGGCTTTGATGGGCATGCTAAGTTTGGTGCTTACCTAAATTCTCCTGTTGTCTTAGACTACAGTGTTGACAAGTTGCACCTGCTTAGGTGGTTCTTGCCAGCCCACAGCAAGGTGATTGGAAATCTGCAGTGGCAATTTTTACCACAAGTTGTAGATATTTGCACTTTTCATGTAAAAACTACAATAAAAGGGCAATTATTCCCTTGTTGACTGCACTGTGATTCCTGTACTTATATCATCTTCTTGGACAACAATCAGCTCCTGCACAGTAATTCTGCATGGTACCTAACTTGTTAGCATCCACACCCCCTCCACGGACAATCGGCACCATACCACAATGAAGCTGCACTGGGCCACTCACCAGCTGAGTCCCTCCATGCCAAAAATATCTCATCAAGATTGCCGTGCTTTACATTCTAGACCTTGACTAAAATTGCCCAATCGGATGGCAGGGAGGCAAAGCACACCCTGCTTAATGTGGGCTTCAGCTCTGTCAATCTCTCATCTCATACACTCAAAAGAAATTTATTTCTAAAAATCATCTTTATAGGCAGCTCCTTAGAGCACATGCTTCATGGTTAGTGTTCATTGTTTCTCAAACAGGAAGTCATCAGTTCCTGACCCGCCCATCGTGTGCTGCGTGATTCTGTCATAAGCACTGTGTGGAGTGGAGTTAGCTCGGTGCGTTCTGACCCGCCCGTCCTCTGTTGTATGGTTCTGTCGCCAGCGGTGTCCGACTTCTCGCGCTGACGATGGCGCCGCTGCCGGTGCCGCTGCCGCTGCTGGGCCAGCTGTCTCGGGCGGCACGCGGCCCCGTGTGGCTGGCGGCGCGCGGTTACCAGCAGGGCGGCGCGCCGCGGCCGCCGCTGCCGGAGGAGGCCGACACTGTGATCTGCGGCGGCGGGCTGCTGGGCACCTCCATCCTGTACCACCTGGCTGAGCGGGGCCTGGCGCCGCACACCGTCCTCATGGACCTCGGACAGTGAGTACAGACCGGACCATGGAGCTTGGACAGTGAGTATTTACCGGAGCGGATCACGGTCTGATGCCGCACACCGTCCTCATGGACCTTGGACAGTGAGTATACACCGTCCTCATGGGCACTGGGCACTGGGCAGTGAGTACACAACGTCCTCATGGACCTTGGGCAGTGAGTACTGAGTACACACCACCCTAGTTGATCTCGGCCAGTGATTACATACCGTCCTCATAGACCTCGGACAGTGAGTACAAACCAGACAGAAAATGTTGCAAAGGAGGCAAAATTACTGCCCGTGCTATCGGAGTAGCAGTTATTTTCGGCGTGTGTTCGCTTACCTATTTCGTACCTACTTATTTTCTTTAAATTCACTTTTTGAATGTTTGATGTGCCTAGTTTGAATGCCTTTCTGCCAGGCCGTCCTGTGATCTTACGTCCTGCTACCTGACCTGACCCTCTGTCTGCTCTGCCTCGCCACAGACTGGGCAGCGGCGTGACCAGTCTGGCGGCCGGTATCGTCTCCATGAACCAGCTGACGCGCGCCCAGTCTAAGCTGGTGCGGAAGAGTCAGGTGCTGTTCCGGCGACTGACTGAGGCCGGATATGATGTGGGGATGGAAGAGTACGGCAGCCTCCACCTGGCCAGGAACGAGGAGAGGATGCAGCAGTACCGCCGGCTCACCGCCCTATCAGAGTCAGTATAACTCGCCGCGGTCTCAGAGTCAGTTATACTCACCGCGCTCTCAGTCAGTATAACTCGTCGCGCTGTCACAGTCAGTACTCACCGCGCTGTGAGTCAGTACTCACCACATTCTCAGTCAGTACTCATCGCGCTGTCAGTCAGTACTCACCGCATTCTCAGTCAGTACTCATCGCGCTGTCAGTCAGTACTCACCGCATTCTCAGTCAGTACTCACCGTGCTCTCTCAGTCAGCACTCACCGCGCCTGCTCACAGTCAGTACTCACTGCCCTCTCAGAGTCAGCACTCACCGCTCTCCCAGAGTCAGTACACGACGGCACGTTGACGGGAAGACGAGGGAAGGATTCGTGGTGTGGGCAGTCACAGCAGGCGAGCGGCTGTGACCGTTATGCTCGTTTTGGTTTATCGTCAATGTGTTAACAGATTGGCACGCCTATGAATTTGTTTGTCGGTCACAGTTCTGCGAATAAGTTGGTCGTCTGTTGGTGGCTCCTTGCCGGTCCTTGCTGTTCTGTCAGTAACTGCCGTGCCGGTCTCAGCTCGACCCAAAGTGACCGTCTCCCACCCCGCCCAGGTCTCTGGACACGGATTTCCAGATGCTGACACCGGACCAGGTGCGTCTGCACTGTCCGCTGCTGCGAACCGAGGACCTCAAGGGCGGCCTGTGGATCCCCTCGGACATTACCGCCAGCCCGCTCAAACTCACCCGGACTCTGGCCGACATCGCTCAGCAGAGAGGTGCGGCGGGGTTTGGATAACTGGCCTGACTGCCGACACTTTGATCGTGACATGTATGTGTCAGCTCCATCCGTTTGAACTGCGAGCTGTTGGGGAACTGCTTTTCAGAATCTGTTGATGGTCAATTCATCTAACCATTTTGTCGTAGATAGCTAGGGGAGACAAGAACCGCAGAAACATTAGAAAAAATGTTCGTGCCAGTGTACAGTTTCTTCTTCTTCTTCGTTTATCATCTCCTACCCGATACTCTTCTGCTCTGACTCTGCACAGGCGCCACCATTATGGAGCGAGTTCGAGTTCTGCGCGTGCTGAGCGACGGCCGCCGGGTGACGGGCGTCGAGACAGACGTTGGCACCATCCGCTGCAAACGGTTCGTCAACGTGGCAGGGTACTGGAGCCATGACCTCGGAAAACTCAGCGAGCCCAATGTCAAGGTGAGATTGGGATCAGTCCAGATACTGGTTTCATGCGTGATAATTGGACTTGTGACTTCTGTGTGGTTGTACGAATCATTCAATGGATCAATGTCAGTGAACCACTGGGGCAATGAAATCTTGTCAATGGAGCAGCATTTTCCACAAATACATAGAATTTTTCCTCGGATGCGGCGTCACGCCCTTCTAAGAAGTAAAAGCGCACCATCTAGCATCCTGCTGGTTGTATAACAAGTTCGTCGTCTCTCCGCCAGGTGCCGGTGCATCCGTGCGAGCACTATTTCCTGGCCACCAAGCCGGTGGACTCAATGGAGCTGCCCGACTTCAGCGAGATGCCCTCGGTGGTCGACCCCGACGGTCGGATCTACGTGCGCGCCAAGGACGGCTGCATCGTGGCCGGCGGCTTCGAGGAGAACGCCCAGCCGGCATTCGAGGAGATGGAGTTCATGCCAGGTGCGTGACGGGTTAAAATTCCATGAGATAGGGCACTAGTCCCCGTAGTGACTCATTCTGCACAAGCACATTATTCACTGGTTATTGCAGATTATTCGCCTTATCGCCACTGACTCTCAGCTGACACTTCTACAACAAAATCATACAATTCCACTTAAGCATCGCCATATCATGAGTCGCCGCCCCACCCGCGGTATGGTTGGCGAATCTCTTCCATCCCGTTGCCATCACATGTCTCCCTGACTCTTGCCGGCAGCTCGGTTCGACTCGGAGTCGCTGCAGCCGGACTGGGACCACTTCTACGGCCTGCTTCACGAGATTGTGCACCGCGTGCCGGGCGTGGGGGACGCCACGCTCGACCGGCTGATATCGTCGCCCGAGACGTACTCGCCGGACGGACAGTGGATCATGGGAGAGGTGCCCGAGGTGGGTGGACGGCGCGTCAGGGTATGGTTGCATGTATGGGGGTGCTGGGTGACAGGGGAAGTGCTGATTGGCGGGCTCGGGCTAATGATGGAAATTTGGGGCTGATGGTTTGTTACTTGATGTGAAGGAGAGTGCTAGGTCGCGACACATACGCATGATGTCACTTAGTCATGACAGCGTTGTTAAAACTGCTGAGTCTTGGCATGGGAGCTCGTGTGGCCAAAAGGTGCTCCCATATTATTAGAATCGAACTGCTGTTGCCTGCAGTTATGAACGAGACGAGGCATTGTTTTATTAATTACAGACCCTTAGCTTTATGAAGGTAGCTCATTTTAGCTAACTGTACGGTACATATTAGGAACTATTGCGCCACATATTGCTTTTGCAGTTACCATGTTAGCCTGAAACACCTTAAGACCCTGAAAACCACGCACACGCTCAATCTCTCCTCACACCGTCTGACCCCCTGGCGTCCAGCTGGAGAACTATTTCGTGGCGGCGGGTCTGGGCGCCAGCGGCACGGCAGCGGCCGGCGGCGTGGGCCGCATCATGGCCTACTGGATCGTCGAGGGAGAACCGCACCTGGACGTGTATGAGATGGACGTGCGCCGCTTCCTGGCGCTGCACAACAACCGCACCTTCCTGAGGACACGGATCCACGAGGTGCCCGGTGAGGACCGAGGGGAGGTCGGTGACGTGGGGGGAGTGGAGGACGGTGAAGTGGGAGGAAGACCGGGAAAAGGAGAGAAGATAGCTACAGTATAGAGTAAACTGTAGGTACTGTACCGATGAGACAATATTGATAACAGTTCGGAGAGTCGATAGGTCGATAGGTAGATAACGACCCATCGTTTCATTTTGTGTGATTTGATGTGTGGTGTTGAACGATTGCTCAAGTTTCTCAAACAGTGTAATCAGACATTGGAAACTTGAAATTATAGGTGTCGTCTATGTCATTGCATGTCTACAATCGACTTCAGAATGATATGTGGGTGTGCATTCTAATCGTCCAATATACAACTTTAGTGAGCTGTGGGTGAACTACCAAAACTTGATAGGTTAAAGATTGTGGGCTGTCATTTCTGCTTTCTGTATAGGTACTTACATTTGGTGCTCTTTGGGTTCTCCTGTGTACGAATTGTCACTTCAAGAACCCCACGACCAATGTCTGATTAGTACAAGTTCTCGTCTATCCAGAACAATGCTTGGCGCAGAACTCCCGACATTTCTCTGATACAGAAGTGTTTACGGACTAGTCTAAGGAGACGTCATTGCATAAACCTGGTGCAAGCGTATACTAATTTGTAGGCTGTCAGTCGATACCACAGGAAACACCAATCACCTCCCGATATCTGCACCTGCCGCAGCCCCTAAACTTCTCACCCACTGTGACTTTATGTGACCACCCTGGCGCTCTCCCCCTACCTACTCTAGACCAGTGTATACGGATATTGCTGATATTGTAACTCGATAACACAGTAACGCAGTGTAACCCTCACTCCCTCAGGTCAGTTTATGTGGATACCGTGGACATCGTAACTCAGTAACACAGTGTGACCCCCCCCCCCTCTCAGGTCAGTTTATGTGGATACCGTGGACATCGTAACTCAGTTACACAGTGTGACCCCCCCCCCCTCAGGTCAGTTTATGTGGATACCGTGGACATCGTAACTCAGTAACACAGTGTGACCCCCCCCCCCCCCCTCAGGTCAGTTTATGTGGATACCGTGGACATCGTAACTCAGTAACACAGTGTGACCCCCCCCCCCTCAGGTCAGTTTATGTGGATACCGTGGACATCGTAACTCAGTAACACAGTGTGACCCCCCCCCCCTCTCAGGTCATTTTATGTGGATACCGTGGATATCGTAACTCAGTAACACAGTGTGACCCCCCCCTCAGGTCAGTTTATGTGAATACCGTGGACATAGTAACTCAGTAACACAGTGTGACGCCCCCCCCCCCCCCCGTCTCTCAGGCCAGTGTATGCGGATTCCATGGATATTGTAACACAGTAACACAGTGTGACTGGATAACACAGTGACACAGTATGACCCCAGTGACACAGTGTGACCCCCCCCCCCCCCCCTTCCCCCCAGGCCAGTGTATGCGGATACCCTGGATGTTCCCCGAGTACCGGTCGGGCCGGCGGCTGCGCACCTCACCCATCTTCCCGCGAATGAAGGAGTGCGGCGCCCAGTTCGGCGCCGTGATGGGATACGAGCGGCCCTCCTACTTCGATCCGGCGGCAGTCACCGTCAGCAGCACTGATCGACAGACGACATCCGGTCAGTGGGATAGTGGCAGCTCATGTCCGACAAGTGTAATTATAATCTGGACAGTTATTGTATTGAGAGTAGGCACATAAAATTCTAGATAAAAATGTCCCTACTCTCAATATGATAATGGGAGCTAGGGGAAAACAACTCGACTTATTGACTGTCTTAGCTTGTTGCTTATGGTCTTCTCGTGTTTGTCTTATGGGATAGACTGGAGATTTCAAACGCGGCAGACCCGAGGTTGGTATTCTTTGAATGTCACCAGTTTCGTAACTTCTTCCGTGCTCCTTGCTGGACTTTGCTTGGATTCCGCGTGGCATTTATACGATGTGTGCCGGCATGGAACGAACTCATAAAGGTCTTCGCCCTTGCCGACTCGACCCGCACCGTTTTCACTAGCCTTCTCCTTCGACTTCTTGTTTCCCGACTGACCGAAGTGTGTGGACCCTAATGGCACCGTGATCCTCAAACCCTGGCTGTATCTAAGACTGTAGTGAGCGAACTCTGATTCTCTCCCCAGGCAACCCCCAGCGGCGAGCAGAGTTCTCCATCGCCGTCACGGACTCGTTCAGCAAGCCGCGCTGGTTCGACCGGGTCGAGGAGGAGTACAACGCGTGTCGGGAGCGGGTAGCCATCTCAGACTACTCGTCCTTCACGAAAATCGACCTGATGGTGAGCGCGACGAAGGATATCTGTGGGTCGACGGAGGGGTAACATGCGGTGCAGGTTGAGCGTGATATGGAGGTAAGGAATCAGCTGAGCTATGGACAGTTTGATAATGAATTTCGAGCAAATGAGTTGGGTTGACGTAATGTACGGATCGGAGGGAGAAAATGCATGCTGCGCCATGTTGTAGTGGAATGATTACAAAATATAATGTTTATTGCATCTTACGCATTCACACTACGCACTGCACATCTATATTCTATGTACACTTGTTGATAGCATACGGCTTTATGAAAGATATATTTTTGCAATTATCCCAATCCCTCAAAACGTTATCTGACTGATATATCTTCTTTTTCAGAGCAAGGGCGACGAGGTGGTGCACATGCTGCAGTACCTGTGCAGTAACGACGTCAACGTGCCCGTGGGCAACATCCTGCACACGGGCATGCAGAACCGCCACGGGGGCTACGAGAACGACTGCAGTCTGGCCCGCATCGCGCACAACCAGTGAGGGATGAGGGGTCACGATGGGGCTGTGGCGGTGGGATGAATTAGTGCCGGGTTTGGGAATAGGAACCGATACGGGAGGGGGATGAGTCTCTAATAAGTATTGGGTAGGGTGTCGTGTCGTATTTATTTTATTATTTTCTTATGTTTGGGCTATGCATTGAATATCGTTTCAGACAACCTAGATAATCTAGTTTGTTAACGTTACCGTGAAATAACTTGTTTTGCGGCTTCTGTGAGGTGGAAGTGTGTAGATATTCTATGAGAAGTAAGTTGTCCGTTAACATTTCAGTTGTCTGTTGTGTCGTTTTCTGAACGTGCGAGGCTGACACGTTTCTGGGGACTGGTGAACAAATGTTTGCTCATTCTTTCAATGTCACCGGTAAAATGCCGACTCAATCATTCAATGCCAACGTGTCCCCTGGATGGTCCGTATCAGTACAGCCAATCGTCTGTTGACATTTCACCAGTGGCGACTTCGCGTGTCGCTCGCTCCAGGCAAACATTGAACGGCGTCCCCCAGAACACACTTTGTTCCTCGTCGCCCTGCCGCCGTGGTAACACCCCCCCCCCCCCTCACCGCAGCTACATGCTCATCTGTCCGACCATCCAGCACGGCCGGTGCCGCTCGTGGCTGCAGCGGCACGCACCCACCGATGGCAGTGTCGTGGTCTCCGACATCACCTCCCTGTATACGGCGCTGTGTGTCATGGGACCGCTGGCCCGCGAGCTCATGTCGGAACTGACTGACCAGGACCTCAGTCCAAAGAGCTTCCCGTTCTTCACATTCAAGGTGAGATGACCGGCTTGCTGTCAAAAGGTAGATACAGGTGAGTGGTATAGGGTGGATCGTGGGGATTGTGTATTTTATCATTGTTTGAGTCTACTTGTTGCGTCAGGTGGTAAATAGCCTCATGATAAGTTGCTGGACATCTTAATTTTGTTTGTTATTCCTGTGCAAATGCGACGGGGATCACTCTGAATTAGTTAACTCATGCTGGCCCTTTTCTTTGTTGACTTGTTCATGCCTTTTTCCTTCCAAGTGTGATTGTATAGCCAGCTTTATTGCTAACATTTTTACAAGTGAACTTCGAGTATGTTCCATCCAACCTTGTCCTCCGTTAGCCACCGTCCGCCCGCGTTAGCCTCTATTTCTGATTGCCATCCTCCGCTGACTCGTCCGTCTCTGACTTTAGCTTGCCCCGTCCGTCCCACACAGGAGATGGACGTGGGTATGATCGCCGGAGTCCGCGCCATGAACATGACACACACTGGCGAGCTCGGTTGGGTGCTCTACGTGCCGAACGAGGTGGGTTGACGGTCACCACGGTCATGTACAGCTGTATATACTGTGGCCACAGCTGGGGCGGGGACATATGGCCTGGTGAAGGCCGATTGAAATCGGTAGGGCGATTCAAACAGGTGCTAAATGTAGAGCAATTTCACTGGCGTGTGCTAACGGATGAGCTGGCAAGACGTGCGTTTGTTGCTATTTGTGTTTCTGTTTACAGCCAGACAGACTTGACGGTATGTTTCGTCAGTGTGCACATCCTGCCGATAAATGGTAATGCGTCCTCTTTTAACACTATGCATAGCTCCTCTATATTTTATGTTCTCTTTCTCGGCAGTACGCGTTGTACGTGTATGACCTGTTGATGGAGAGGGGACAGGACTACGGTGTGGCGCTGGCCGGCTATTTCGCCATGCGCTCGCTGCGCGTGGAGAAGTTCTACGCGTTCTGGGGCCAGGACCTGGGCACCACCACCACGCCGCTCGAGTGCGGACGGGGATTCCGGGTCAAATTCAACGTGAGTGCGGATTCGGGCTTCGGAAGAGCAGGGATACTCGGTGTATAACTCTTAGGAAGTTTTAGTGAAAACTTGGCCGCATGATTTCAAATTACGGTACTGTTTGATGTCGATGTTCTCAGTCTCGATACCGATATTTTATCTGCATGTCTGCCCTAAAGTTGATCATTGCCTAACATGTAACTGCCTGGGCCTACTCTCTAACCAACGCCGCTCCTCCCCACAGCGAGACATGGACTTTATCGGCCGGGAGGCGCTGCTGCGTCAGAAGGCCGAGGGCGTGAAGCGGCTCTACGTCCACTTCACCGTGCAGGAGCACGACCCGTCCGACGACCCGTGGGCCTGGGGCCACGAGCCGATCCTGCGCGACGGCGCCTACTGCGGCCTGGTCACTACCTCCGCCTTCGGATACAGCCTCGGAAAACTGGTGAGTCGACATACCTTTCTGTTCTGAATTCTGATGATGTCTTGCTTTGACACTGCGACTATGCCTGTATACTCCATCGCCTTTTATAGCTTGTGTAGTCTAACAAGGTTCTAATGATGCCGTTGCTAATACTCATGTAAATGCGGCATTGGGCATCGACACAGCGAGGCTTAACGATAGAACTCTTTGGTTATTCTACCAATTCTCTTCTGCGTGAATTCAGGCTTGATAATCTGAGAGTCGCTGTAACGAGGCTGTAGAGGGGGCTCTGAGACAGGCCAAACAGTGATGACACGAGCTGCGAGCCTCTGCCACGCAGTAGATGCGTGCGGTGCGTGTGGGTGCTGGGCACACACAAAGGGGTACTTATGCGTGTTTTTGTTTGATTATACTCTTGTTTATAAAGACAGGTGTGTCTTGTCTTCGGCGTAGCATGGTGGTTATTGCAGATCAGAGGTTTGTTAATACACCTTTTTTCATTGCGAGTCGGCATCTGTGCAGGTCATATAGACTTTTTTCATTTAAGCCGGCAACAGGCGTGCTCTTTCGACATTGTGCGCCTCTCATCGACACAACGCGCCTTCACGATAAGGGGCATTGAAAATAGGCAGTGTGCGCAACTTCGACACTGTTCAGTGGATTTAGACATAGTGCACTGAATATGACAACGTCCATCTGATATAGACGGGCGTGAATCAATTTTGACAAAGGTATTTTAATTTCGTTTACGATTTTATCCAACTTCATCGTATACATAATCAATATGTATGAGCTAAGCATTCATAATTGACATACCCATAGCTGTATTTGGTTTGATTGAACTTGCGGCCTGTCTCTACAAATATTCGCAGATAATGAATTGGTAACACGTGCATAAAACACTATAGAATTGCTATTTAGTCCCACTGCACGATACAACATAATTTGGTTTTAATACAAGTACATTTTATTAAACTAATAAATATATGCAGCTAACGAATCATTTCAATCCACAGTAATGGCTCATCAGCTTGAAATGCCTCTGGTAAAAAAAAGCAACATGATAGACAAAATTTCATTTGTGTATGGCCAATGGCCATGCCACATAAAAAAAACATTACGTAACACTGCAATAACAATGAACACAAGCAGCAAAATCAATGGACACAACTGAATGCTCCGCCGCCGTCAGTGGTCGCCGCGACGTTGCGGTCACTCGGTCCAGATGTCCTCTCTGGCCAGACAGGCGCCGGTTGTTCGGGTCGTCGTCAATCAGCATCAGGTAGAAGTCGATCATGTCATCCAGCTTCCTCGGTCGGTTGCCCCCTCTCCTCCGTGCAGCAAACTCCCCGGTACGCGTCCACTTTGCCACGATGGACCAGCCGGTCGTCCTCTTTACGCTCAACTGGCGGGCCACAGCAACGTTATCGTTGCCACCGCTTGGATTATTCTCTCGCAGTCCGCGGCACAAACTGTATGGCGGCGGCTCGGCATCTTGATAACAAATGACACAAGCACACTGACCTGGCTTGAGGTCACCTAGCCTACCGGGAACCAGTAGAAGCTCAAGTGTAAAGGATGTAGCTATGACGCCACGTGGTCAGTTTGCTACTTCATGAGTTTATCAACACAAAAACACATGCCTAATATTTTCATCGTCTGATGAAAAATACAAATATAAAAATCAAATTATACGTTAACGAAATCCATTTTATATTGCCTAATTCAATCGCAAAGCGACTAAATTAAGTGACCTAAGACTAAATCTATTGTCAGCGTCGATATCAAATGCCCTTGGCGATATACTGTGACACTGTTCGAAAATAAACAGCCGATAAACTAACGAAATGAAAACTGTCGAACAGTCCAAAGTAAGTCTAACACAATGCTCATTTACCGAACTGGGCCGCCTATAGTTACGGTCAATTGAATCTATGCCGACTCGCAATGCAAAAAGGTGTAGTATTATACTCCCTTCGGTATTTTGATTGTCCGATACACGTGCCAGGCCTGTTTCCGGTTCAGGTTTCGTGAGAGGGTTGGCCTTAGCGCAGCATGTTTTTGACGTTCGTCACAGGACGTATATTCGGGGCTGCCCTGACACTGGCTAAGCTGCTTTGTGCCGGCCTGTTTACCTGTCGATTGCCGCCTCCTCAGGCACTTTTGTTAGGATGCAGTGAAAGAACCGGCCGCAGCAGCTCCCACGGTTTTCGCGGTTCTGTTCTCACCCTGCTGTTGTGGCGAGCATGAAAAGATATTGACGAGTGTTGAATAGCGTGCCCACGTCGCACGTCCTATCAGGAGGTTGGCGTGTGTCCTCCACCTGCTGATGTGCGAGCTTTGAATCGATCGAAGGTGCTATGTTTTGACTGAAGTATTTAAGCGAGCTTATGTTGCTTTGCTGTTGTATTAGTTCGTTTTCTCGAAACGCAGTAGATCGCTGCGTCACGCAATGCTGCTGAGAATCGGCGCATGCGGTATTTTTCTGCTCATCATTCCCAATCACTGTCGGTCGCAACATCCAAGTGCGTTGATATTTCTCAGAATGGACACGGCGATTTAGATTCATCCGTCGACGTTCACCGAAAGCGGCTAAAGCTCATCGGGGGATGCGTAACAGCCTGTTCCCTAGCTCAATGCCGCGAACGGATGGTGAAGCTGTTATGCTGATCTTCGTGTTTAGTTTGCGCAAAATTTCCCCGTTCTGACTCGAACGAAACTCTGACACCGGATCCTGAATATCTACTCGCTCTTCTCTGATTCTTGTTTACCCTGAAAAACTTGATCTTTCCGAACCCATTACGTAAGCACTTGTCGACGATTACGTCTGTTTGATGCCGACCACCAATCTGACATTTAGCTGTGCGGAGTTTGGGATAAAATTGTGTCATGGCCTTTACGACAGTTCAATAACGGACAGCTTAACACAGACATTGGCGTTTTTCGCTTGATTGCCCGACGAATACCTGCGTGAATGAAAATGTGATTACTGATTACAATATACGTTAGAATTATGAAACAATTTAAACGTTTTTTGCTAGTTGTGAGTGTTGCTTAGGTAACATTCAAAGGCGAAAGATTCTTGTCCTTTTTATTCTAGCGCTGCCATTCTTTTTTTTTGGGGGGGGGGGGGTCGTTCTCATCCACTATCTCTCTCACATCTGTAATGCCATCGCATTCTGACCGAGCCACTCCTACCCTTCCAGGTATGTCTGGGCTTCGTGCAGGACCTATCAGCCGGCTCACCCTCGGTCATCACCAGCGACTACGTGCTACGGGGCAACTACCAAATTAACATCGGCGGCCGCCTGTTCCCGGCCAAACCGTCGCTGGTCTCGCCTTCCCTGCCGACCAAGTATCAGGAGCCGACGCAGAAGCGTTATCAGGCCACTCAGCACACCTCGTGGTCACAACGCGGTTAGTCCCCATACCGGTCGGCCGGTCAGTGCCCCCTTCGCTCTCGCGATACCGCTATTTAGGTGTCCGATTGACTCAGCTAGACGGTCTAGATTGGTGCGAGTTGTGAGGAGTGTGAGCTACTCCTCAGCGCGGCAGCGTCGTTAGGCGTAGTGAGTCAGCCGTTTTTACTAGGCTGGTGGCAATGTCTAATATCCCTAGTCTCATATAAGACACGCGCACACAACGAGACATGTTCCGTATGATCAAGCTCGTCCAGTCACTCGTATGCGGTTCGCTTCTATTATTCAAAGCTGTCGAAGGTGCTTCAGAAGACTTTAGAAGACCGCTGAGCAGCCTGCTGAGCTTTCGACCAGTGTTGTTCAGCTTGTGAGTCTGAGATGTGAACGCACCATGTGAGATATTTGTGAGCTGTGTGGTGAGCTACTGAGGCACTGTGTTACTCTGTGAGTTGTGCAAAAGTCGGTGACTCTGACTCCAAGTCATTAAGTCTTCTAGCATTGTGAGTCAGACGACTGTTGTCGGGGATTCGTGACTCGTGTATGAGATATGTCGCCTGAAGTGAGTAGTTGTGTGCGTCTGTGTGTGCTGCATGCGTGTGTGAGGTCCGGCGGCTTCTTGCTGCTCTCTGTGTACGCCTGTGTGTGGATTGTGCTTGTGCCAACTTCTGGCGATGCCGTGCATCCCTGTAGAAGTTCCCAAACAGTCCCATAACGTGCCATCGAGTGCCGGGAAGCGGTGGCGTCAACTCCAGAGCTCTGAGTGGAGCAGCGAGGTCGCTACCACTGCGCTGCCGCCGCCGCCGCCGCCGCTGCTGCTGTGAAAACGGGTCGTGTGTTGTTCTCCCGTCCCAAACTACTTATTAATGAGCGGGTTTCGATTCCGCTTTGTGCCCAAACTGTCTGCTCAGGGTGACGTGTTTAGTAGTGTGGCCTTCAACGTCGGAAAACGCCAGGTCGGGAGGTTAATTTGGCATTTTGTCCGAAGGATGCTGCGCTGCCGGTAGCTCGGTATCAGTCGGATTGTATTCTGCACGGAAGGAACGATTGCCTTCTCAGCTGAAGCTAATTAGCTACCCATGCACGGCATTTCAAAGCACAGGGTAGTCATTGGCATAGCGTAGAGTAGATTCAGGCATCGGATCAAACCACGGGCCTTGTGCGGGATGGGTGCGTATCCACCAGATCTGGTCTCCGGCCGCCGCGGTGTCTCCGGCGTCGTGTCTCCCCGAGTGTGCGTCTCCTGTGTGCGGGTCAGCCGGCCGCCCACCGGCCCGGTCTGACCCGGTCGCGGCTGTGCCGTATTTTGTGGATTTTTATCTTGTGTCGCAATACAGTGTTTTCCGTGTCTTTTTGTGGCTGTCGGCGGCCGGTGATCGCCATTGTTGCGGCGGCGGTGCGCGGCCGACGGCGGGTTCTTGACCGCTGCGCCGGCCCGGACACCCGAGACGGGCCGACCGGTGTCGTTTTTCTGATGCGCAGAAGCACGTGCTGCTGGACGGTGCGCCGCCTCTATGGCGCACCGCGGTAGGTTATCATACGAGTCTGCAAAACGGGAGGTGTTGAGAACGGTTTGGTGTGGGGCAACAGGATGTAAGAACTGATCACAATCGGTCCAACCAATTTCTAGTTTTGCCTGGGTCGATGATCTCTTATACTGAGAGTCTTATTGGTGTAAGTTACATTGAGGTGATTAACGGTATTTTTCCATTTCCATTCCAACTCTTTGAACCGCTTCCATTTGTCGGTGCATCCGTTTCCAATCGTCCTTATTGCTGCAAGCTGCATCACATTGCTAAATGTAGCCCGGCCCGGAGGTTTCGTATGAACCTAACTGTTCCACCTTCGAAACCGAGCAGCAAGCATTCACATCAAATTTTCTATTGATTGGAACATGCAACCGTGTCTTGACATTGTTCGTCCTCGACATCGTCTCAATTTGTCCTCGATTTTTCCTGCCGTCGTCTCCGGGTTTCGTCTCTCCGCTCGGCCGAACCTCCAACATCCGTCCGTGGTCGTCCGTCCGCCGTCGTCCCGGCTCCGTCCGCCCCTGCTTAGAGTGCCGCAGGTGCCCCGGGCGGGGGCAATTACAGCCACCTGCTGCAGGATTACACGTGCGCCGTCAGCGCCTGATTAGAAAACTCGGCCGCGCCGCTCCCTACATGACCCAGCGACCGGGGTTATAGAGCGATCGGTGGGCTTTGACTGTGAGGCGCTGAAGGATACCTAACTGTGGGACGCCTCTCTCTCTCTCTCTCTCTCTCTCTCTCTCTCTCTCTCTCTCTCTCTCTCTCTCTCTCTCTCTCTCTCTCTCTCTCTCTCTCTCTCCCTTTCCCTCTCTCTTTCTTCCTTCCTCTTGAAAAATGAACTTGAAATAACAAAAATGAACGTATTGCTGGTCGCTAGATCTGCAACGAACACCAAAACTTCCTACTTACACAATACACCTGTGCAGGGGAGCGATATTACGAGTGTTGGCGCATTGTTTGTAAATACCGCCCCTTGGTAAACTTAGGGTAGAATGGGCGATATGTCCGCTGAGGAGAACGGAAGTAAAGCCAATGTCGATGCCTAAAAGAGTCAATTAGATGTCACGTACCAAATTCTAACAACGATGAAACAGTTGTAGCAAGTTAATATGAATCGACAGCCTTGATGCTGGAATGTAATTAATCCAGCACGACCCGGAATTGAACTGCTCTGTTACAAAAGACAGACGCAGGTATTTGCTCATTATTATCGACTCGGATGGAATTCCCTTGATCCTTCACTGACGGGGGCTGGTCGACGACGGTCAACATTTCTTTCTATAGTACTGCCTGCGGGTTCACCTTCGCAAAAACAACTAACTGTCTTCCTATCCCGCGCCCCGCTGGGGGGGGGGGCAGAATCTGCCCCTCCCCCTCCCGTTTTTCGCCAATAACTACTAAACGCGTAACGCCAGCGACGTCAAACTTTCAGTACCTTATCATACATCAATTTAACACGTTTTCTGAAAATTTGAGCGAAATCCGGTGGATTTTTTTTAGAAAATGACGTTTTAGTGACGTCATGTCCGCCATTTTCGCCTAAAAAACGGCAAAATTTCAAACGCCGCTAACGTCTTCATTTTTAACCCGCGCCCCAGTGGCGGTCTCAGCCAACTTCGCCCTAGTGGGGGGGGGGGGGGCATATGTTACCACCCACCTCTAACTCAAAAACTAAGAGGGCTAGAAAGATGCGGTAAAAAGCAGTCGATAGCTCTCAATGCGTACGTTTGAAAGTATTTAGGTCATTTTCATCTTAGAGCAATATTGGGGTCACTGGAGGTCATCAAAGGTCAAAATTTGCCAAATGTCATTATATTTCTCAGAAAACATGCATTTATCTCAGGAACTATGATAGCTAGAAAAACGCATAAAAAGCAATCGATAGCTTTTGAACTCTTCTTTTGATAAGATCATCATCAAAATTGACCTCAGGTCAACGGTTTAGCCTCCAGAGGGCAAAAACTAAAAAAAAAATAGCTGTTTTTACGAAATGTGTTTTTCGACAATAACTTTTGACTAAAACCAGCTAGGACATTTCTATTGCCAGAATCGTGTTCCTCTCGACGAGACGCGTCGAATGAACTATAATTTGACCTAAAAGGTCAACTTGAAAATTTGACCTCAGGTCAAGGTCATGACCTGACCGGAAAAGGTCATGTTGCATATCATTCAATGCGTCTCAACAAGACAAACACAATGAGACCATCCCCAGCGTCCTATCTCTTTCCAATCGAGAGTTATTGGCAAAAATCTGTTTGTAGCCTCAAATGACCTCGGATGACCTTTCTAGAGGCTATCAGCAAAAAACACACCTTGGTCGTCACGGGTGGTCCAAATCATTGTGATTCTGAAATATTTGGACTGTTCCTATGCATACACACGGATTTAGAGGCATTTTCATTTTTCTCCATTGCCTTATAATGGTAAGGTCACGCCACTGACCTGACCTTAGGTCACGGATATAAAAAATCCGAGATATACAAATTGTAGGCGCCCATAACATCATGCAATCCACCAAGTTTGAAACCTTTCTGACAAACACTGCAGGCTGGACATGATTGCAAACTTTTTTAGGCTTGGTCAGTTAACTTGACCTGGTGACCTGACCTGACATGACCTGGGGTCAAAAATTTCACACATTGTCCAAAATTGATGTACAAAAAGTTACCCCAAGCGGCGCGGCGCTGCGCGCCGCGGTTTTTTATTTACACGCAAAAAACGCGACAGGGTGGTAACATATGCCCCCCCACTGGGGCGAAGGTTAAAGGAATCAAGACGTAACAAAAATGGTTATACGTGAGTCTACTTTGTCTATCTAGGGGAAAGTGGGGTAAGACGGACACCTTAACTTTGGAGCCATTTTTCGGCCGGTTAGAAACATCATAGAAACGGGAAACTGAGTGAAAACCTCTTTTAGACATTTTACTTCCATTTGCCAGAAGATGAGACTTAGACCTGATTCAACAAATAAACTGCAGCTATTTTTGCAAAACCTTGCAAAAACCCGTCTTACCCCACCCCATGGGGTAAGACGGTCACATGGGTAGGGCAAGACGGCCAGCTTCTTTCACCGACCAGTACAGCTCGCAACAAATGCCCGAAATTAGCTGCATTGATACAGTCGCTCGTTGGTCTCAAGTGCCTCGGAAATGGCAGTATACAAGATTTGTGCAGAAGGCGTATGCTCGTATATAGGCCCTAGATCAGAAGTCATGTAGAACCGTTTTTCACATTCATCATTCGAGAATAAACTGTGCCGAAGGAATATTGCTAACATGTCTGTGAGTATCGGAATCGAAGATATTCTTATAAGAAATGCTTCTTTTTTTCCTACAGCAACAAAAATATTTTCACCATTACAGACCCATTGGATTCATAGTTGCCCGTCTTACCCCTAACTCAATGTAAGAAGTTCAGCACAATTTTTCTCTGTGGACAATTTGATGCAGACAAAGCAAATCCGCGGTAAATGAACACTGGTGGCATATGAGTGTACCACAAGTGATTGCGAGTTTTTAGCTGTATAGTGCTGCACACAAAAACTTGCACAATACATTATGGATGTTTTCAATGAAATTAGTGTTTTAAAGAAATCAAAATAAAAGATTATCGACTGAACACAAAATCACCAAACTTCAATGGTGGTGTGTAGTGGGAAAGACAATTCTGGTCCTAATTTTTCTCGCTCGTAGCGCTATTGGTTTGGTCTGCAGAAGGGGTGCCCGTCTTACCTACCCTGACCGTCTTACCCCACTTTCCCCTAATGGTTATCTCGGTTTTTTGAAGATTTTGGATTTTGGCCCAATTTTTTTAGGTAACTGACTTGGGAAAATTATTATAAAATCCAAAATTTTTAGTGTATCAAAAACCCGGAATATATGTTACAGAAGTGGTCTATGTGCACCTACATACCAATTTTTAGAAGAATCGGTTCAAAAATGTGTGAGTTACCTATTCAAAATTTTATGACGTCACGACACACAAATTTTAGGAAAAAGGATTTTTTGGAAGTTCTAGAGCTCGTACGGAAACAAAAATAGCACCATTCTATTCGCCGTGAACAACTGCATCAGATAGACACCTTTTTAGGTCTGAACACCCAACTTCAAAATTTAACCTCACTTGACCTGACCTTGACCTCGACCTGAAATTCATCCAGATGTGGTCCATATCACTAATTGAGTGTGTCTATCGAATTCTATGAATAAAATGATCCATAAAACGTGTCGCACATGCCCTTTTCTATATTTCGTTTTTGGTGACCTGACCTTGACCTTGACCTTGACCTTTGCATGATATTGTATGCAACGAATATTGTCTTGGTAGCCTAAGAACACGTTTTGGGCAATCAGTCTCAGTCCATTCTTCGGCACCTACGGTGCAAGGCCGATACTGTAGAGACTTACATTTTGTACCCTTGACCTGACCTGGACCTGACCTCTGACCTACTTAAGCAAAAAAAATGGCTCTTAAGATCCGCCTTGTTGAGAGTTTTCGATAGCCGTTTTCCCCGTCTTTCTACGACCGTCGGTTCGGAAGTTAGACAGGGGGGCAGAATCTGCCCCCCCCCCCCCCCCCCAGCAGGGCGCGTATGGCTGAATAGCCCAGCGGGGCGCGGGCTATCTCGGGGCACACCAACATCCTCGGCGAAATAAGTGGCTGCGAGGTCGGCACGCGCGCTCGCCGGGCTACGCTGCGCAACTTACGTGAAAGACGGGCTATTTATCATTTGTTGAACACTCGGATGCAATGCGATGGGTGAACGGTGCAGCTCGTTTTGTGCGTCCCAATGTTGGAAAGCAAATGTGTTATTGCCAAGTTG